TGTAGATTGTAAACCACACACCTGTATTCATGTGTAGATTGTAAACCACACACCTGCATTCATGTGCAGATTGTAAACCATACACCTATATTCAATTGGAGATTGTAAACCACACATGATTGTCTTTCTACAATCATCTGGTTCAATTCTGTTGTAGAAGACGCTCAGGGCTGTATACCACCATTTGAATGAAGATTCATTTGGAAGAGCAGTATGAATTGTCACACATAGTATATTGAGTCTTTTATATTTATATGAATTAAAATAGTAATACTAATCTTTGCTGTGTTCAGTTGTCTTTGTCAAAGTTCACTAGTTTCTTTTTTTGTTTCAGAGAAATTTGTTACACCATGACCAAAGTTAGCCTTAATGCAGCTTCACTATTTGGTTTGATTTCCTTGGATCGTGCACATACCTGATAAGGTTTTGGTTGAAATTCAGGCATATTATTCACCTAATTGCATAATAATCAACCAGTGTTTGGTAGATCTAATCATACAAATACCACACAGTGACAACCATTAACAAAATGGCCACTGGTCAGCCATATTGAATAGAATCTTGCATCTTCAGGAAATAACCAATTCTGAATAAACTTAGTAATTGTATTCTCAATTTATAAGCAAAAATGACAAAGTACTTTTGATGAACAAAATGGCCGCCAAGGATAATAGATATACCGGTACTTCAGTATGCAAGGGGTGTTACCTATATTCTAAGTTTGAACAGGATTGACCAGCACAACTTAGAGATAATGCTCATGTTTGGACCAATTGGCTATGTGTATCTGAACAGGAAAACAAATCCGAACTTCTGAGATAATGTGATGGATAGACAGACAGAACCCAATGCACGCATACATACGGATAAAAAGGGAGAGACACATATTGGTTTCATTCTCTGTACACATATTCAGAAAGTATTGTGAATAACTGAAATGCACGCATGCATGGATGGACAGACAGACAGACAGAAGGACACACATTGAGAGTATGGTAAAGAATCAAAAAACAAACATGAATGAATACCACTGAGAATTTATTCAGTTTTGACAAGTGTTAATATACATTGTCCTACGCTATAGGAATTCTATTTAAAAAAAATGTCTTCACAAAAACTACATGTCTCAAATCAATCAAAATCTTTTTACATAAGTTAATTGTGGCTGATCCGAGTGTAAAAGTGTAAACAAAAATGTGTAGTGGAAGCCAAACCGAATCATTTTGCCTATGGAAAATTCAGAGTCAATATGCAGGGGCCAGATAAAAAAAAAAAAAATTCATGAAAATAACAGCAAAAGAAATTCAAAAGGAATTCAATACCCAACAATACTTGATGTAAATGCTTAATAATGTTTTGAATAGTACAATATTTTTCCAACAGTTCCTAAAATCCATTGAATTGATCAAGACAGTTTACCCCTATAACACGTAGACATTGGGATCGGGATCAAGTGGATATCACAATTTTACAAATGATTAATTCTAGAAGTTTTAAAAGTCTAATTTGTTTTCAAGATTACCGCTGAATGTTGGGGCGGTTTGAGATGATTTCAAATTTTGCACTACTGAGAATGTTACTGCACATATATGCAATGCATTATGGGGGAATTTATATTTTGCTCTACTGAGCACGTTACTGCACATATATGCAATGCATTATGGGGGAATTTTTATTTTGCTCTACTGAGCATATTACTACACATAGATGAACTTCCCCTCATAATACAGCAATGGAAAACTTATCACACAGGAAAGTTAATGAATTAAAATTTATATTAATCAATTCTTTTGAGATGTTTCAAAAAACTATGTACTAGGATTCACATCAATAATAACTGTTTTTCTGTGACATTTCTCAGTTTTTCAGAATATTTTCTGGTAATCCTAATGATATTAACCCGTAAAATGCAAATATGAAGATGACTTCAATTTAGCTTAAACTCCTTAAACTGGGGCTAAATCATATAGAAATATATATAGCCTGGAATCAAGTCATTCAGAGTGCCATTAAGTAGACGGCACAGAATATTAATTGGCTGTTGCTATGACTTCAGTACATTACCATTAAAACTCGCGTACGCCGAATGACCTGTAGGTAAAGCCCGCCCATAGCCCTGCAGACCGATTAACTAATTCTATTATTCAAAGACTTTTCAGAGTCTCAAGATAATAGACAGCGTCTAGTCTAACATAGATTAAGAGGACACTATAATTTGATTCTGTATACTCCTAAGAGACAGTCATGGAAATAAAATACATAGAGGTTAAACAAAGTTTTGGAGGAAGGAGGGCCACTTCAGTTGCTAGCTGCAAAGATCATAATAGCTTGTAATACTCCTCACTGTGCTAATATCACTGTCTGTCTTTGATGGATTGAAGAATCTACTGTGTCAATACATACAATTACAGAATGTTTTAACACACTAGTTTTTGTGCACATTAAGAAAAAAACAAAAACATTTCTGGTTAGTGAGTTTATCTGTATGACACTGTAGTTAATATTGTTTTTTTGTACTCTTCAAACTTTTATTTATTT